CCAGTTTTTTCGAGGCCGTAGAGCATCTCATTGGTCTCCTGTGTAGCAGCCACCGCGGAAAGGAAGCCGTTAACATCATCGAATTTGTGCAAAAGTCACTTCGTTTTCCAAAGAACGGTGACTGCTTTACAGCCGATGAGCATGCTAGCGAGACGGAGAGTGACGCAGAAAGCGGTGCCTCGAGTGCATCTGATCTCGGCTCATACGAGAAAGCATCCTTCGATTACGATGATGACTTGAACCGATCGGTCTTCACTAATAAGCGGTCTGTAGAAGCCGGCTCCACTGGCTTTGGGACAAGCGGCTATGCTATCCCAGGCTGCGACAACGGTAGGATGCTGGCTCTTGTCCATGCTAAAGGCAATATGTTGTATGCACTGGGCGATAATGCGGGGGCTGCGGTGGCGTTCGAAGATGCAATCCTGATCGCCGCCGGCAGAAGACGACACGGCATTCAAAACTTAATAAAGCAGATATTTGCAGCGTTTTCGTACGGATCGCGGCATGACTATCCTGCCCCATCGGAGCAGCATAGCTCGAACGAAACCATTCTCCTTTATCCGGACAAGGCTCTGCAGACCTCCAAACTGGTTTTCCCTTCATGTGGGACGCCCCCCGGCATCAAATTTGTTGGCGAAGGTCTTGCAAGGAAAGCGGCCATATCCACCACGAGCAACTCCTTACTCTCCCTGGCGAAGATATACCAGGATGGAATGTCTAATATCTCTACCGGGGGCGTGCCCAGAGCTGCTCCAGGAGTTCGGGATATCCTGGCGCTCTACTACCTTTCGCTTTCTCTCCAACCGAGCCCGTCAACCGCAAACAATGTGGGAATTTTGCTTGCTGGCATCCAAAATAACGCAGCTAAAGGGCTACCTCGCTCTAGTGGTGAGATGCAACATCCCGAGATACCTGGTGTGGTCTTTGGCAGTGGAGTGTCTCTGGCCCTGGCATATTATAACTACGGGTTACACCTCGACTCTCGACATGCTCACCTATATACGAATCTTGGCAGCCTCCTCAAAGATATTGGCCAGCTTCAGGCTGCTATTCGAATGTATGAACAGGCTGTCCAGTGCGATAACAATTTTGACATTGCTCTGGCGAATCTCGCGAATGCTGTCAAAGATGCCGGTCGTGTCAACGAGGCAATCACATATTACAAGCGTGCTGTCAAAGTAAATCCAGAATTCGCAGAGGCAGTCTGCGGACTAGCCAATGCTCTTAATTCTGTCTGCAACTGGGTCGGCCGAGGTGGTGTTGCTAACGGGCATGGCTTCCGGGATCGGTGGCATGTTAATGAGCAAGGGATGCTTCGGGACGCTTACAGTATTGACACCGGCGCCGGTTGGATTAAGCGTGTCGTTGATATTGTCGATCGGCAGCTTAAGGAAGGCGAAACCTGGGGCCGTGGCCTGTTGACTCCCAACACAATTGAGCAGCTGTGCGCGCAGCTGGTTCCTGCATTGGACAGCCGACGGTTTGCATCTGGATCGCTTAATGCTATTCTCCAGTCATGGGCGGGGCAGAAATGGGAAGGTTCGAGAATCGTAAAGCTCGTTGAGCGTGCAATACGAGCGATCACATGGCAGTGGTATCAGGACCTTTATGTCCATCGGAAAGAGTATCCCCTGTCTAAGTATCGCAGACCACAGCTTCCTCCTGGGTTGTCTGCTCCCAATGCTCCCACTGTGTTACCTTTCCATACCTTCACATGTCCACTTTCTGCGAAACAAATCCGGCAGATCTCACAGCGTAATGGGCTTCGCATATCTTGTGCAACCCTTCGCTCTCCATGGCTACCAGCTACGGTGTACCAGCCCCCGGCACCACCAAACCCATATCTGAAAGTTGGATATGTATCGTCGGACTTCAATAATCATCCTCTTGCGCATCTTATGCAGTCCGTATTCGGATTGCATAACCCGTCAAGAGTAAAGGCCTATTGTTATGCCACTACAGCAAGTGATAAGTCTATCCATCGCCAGCAAATTGAAAAGGAAGCACCGGTGTTTCACGATGCTAGTGGATGGCCTGTCGACCGGTTAGTAAAGCAGATCGTCGCGGATGGCATCCATATACTCATCAACTTAAACGGTTACACGCGTGGTGCACGGAATGAGGTTTTTGCTGCACGGCCTGCCCCAATTCATATGTCCTTCATGGGGTTTGCAGGGACTCTGGGTGCTGAGTGGTGTGACTACATTCTTTCCGACACCATCTCGATCCCCCAAGAGACTCTTGCCCCAGGAGGTCGTACACTGAGCATTGAAGACCGAGTGCTTGAGGAGAACCATGGAGAGGACCTTGAAGATTGGGTTTATGGTGAAAAGATTGTATTCACTGGGGCCACATTCTTCTGTTGCGATCATCGACAAAGCGCACCCGACTCTCAGGACCTACGTCTCGCTTGGGAGCAGGAACGAGAGAAGCGATGGCGTATGCGGAAGGAACTTTTCCCCAACCTTCGCGATGATGCCATTATCCTGGGCAACTTCAACCAGTTATATAAGGTAAGATCTAATAGGCACTTGAAACGGCTATAACATAAGAGGCAAACTAACATCCCACATAGATCGAGCCCACGACGTTCCGTACGTGGCTCCGTATACTGGCACGGATTCCTAATGCCGTACTATGGCTACTTCGCTTCCCGGACCTTGGTGAACAGAACCTCAAGGAAACAGCCGTTGCTTGGGCGGGAGAGGAAACTGCCTCTCGCATCATATTCACTGATGTTGCGCCCAAGAACACCCACATCTCGCGGGCCAAAATTTTGGATCTCTTCTTGGACACTCCCGAATGTAACGCGCACACGACCGCGACGGATGTCCTGTGGAGTGGTACACCTCTTCTGACCCTTCCTCGCTACAAATATAAGATGTGCTCTCGTATGGCGAGTAGCATCCTTAGTAGCGCCTTACCCGATTCCGACGATGGCCAAAGAGCTCGCGAAGAGTTGATTGCCACATCCGATGACGATTATGAAGAAAAGGCCATCCGGTTATGTCTGAACTTGAAATACGAGCCTGGCAGTGAGGGTCGAGCAAGAGGCAGGTTGCCTGATCTCCGGAGACTGTTGTTTGAAGAAAGATGGAGAAGCAAATTGTTTGATACTAAGCGCTGGGTTCACGATCTGGAAGATGCCTACGAACAAGTTTGGCAACGATGGGTGGATGGCAAAGAAGGAGATATATGGTTATGAAATGCGCTTCGGAATATACCCCTTCAGCGTTTGTTTTTTGTTTGCTTTTTTTTTTCTTTTTTCTTATTACCCTATTTGTTTGTTTTATTTCCCCATAGGCGTATGGCCTATGTTATACCTATGTGAGCTATACTTCACAGTTTTGTGTTTGTTATTTCGATGTAATCGTTTATAGGGATATCATCCCCTGTGCATGCTGGCGTTGGATGTCTTAGGGTACGGACCAATGATGAAGTTCCCCATCTGCTGGATGACCTATGGCAGCAGTTGAGTTGGGTTTATTGTTTGAAATTATGACTACGATCTTTCATGGATAGGCGTTGAGTGGCTTGACTGTGGTAGGAGTGGTTTAACTGATAGATGGCCTGAATCGAGATCGCTCTCAGTCTTTTCAAGTTGAGAGTTATGTTCATATGTTCATATGCTTTTTTATTATTACTATAGTGGTAGTCCTTTTATACGCCGACATACCCTTGACTGTACCATTCCAGCGCGACGCAAAATAGGTCCTAACTTCCAAGGTGGTCCTTTCTTATTTCCCCTGAAGGCTACCGTGCTTCCTCAATGGAAGCAATGATGGGTGTAATGGCCTGGTGTTCATCTATCTCGTCGGGAGTATGTAAACCGCGAAGATCCATTCTTGGGAAGCAGACGCCAACTTATCAGGGCACGAACAATTCAATTCAAGATGACACTGCTGGTCTATTCTTGCATAAGGAATAGTTTCGGTTAATCACCCACAAACTTATAGGGGGAAGAAGTAGCTAAAGCAGCACAATGCGAGAGGGTGAATCCAGCCAACAGTTAGGGATGGCCGGGAAGATAGCCGAACAGCGCATGTCCGATCAGCTTCCTACTATACAGATAGAGTAGTATTTCCTGCCACGGTCTGATGTTTGAGAGAAGTTGTAGCTACAAGCCTGTTGTCTCTCGACGTGATGCCTCTGTGTGCATAACATCCCAAAAACGTCGATATCGCAAGCCGAAGCCCTTCAAGCCCGTGGTGAATCTAAATCGAGATAACCAGAAGCGTGGTTGGATTCTTCCAAGAAGCGTATGAATGCCTTGAATCGCTCCTCAAAAATCTAGTGATCTTATAGGTAGTTATCCTTTGGATAAACCAACAAAGTATCCGTGACCTTTCAACATGTCAGATACAATCTCTATATCCGGGTCCACCGAAATCGAATAATCGTCCCATAGTTGATGGAGGCTTGCCTGTATGAGAAGCCCGTTTTGAATGGAGTTGATAGACCACCAGTGAATTCTGCACCAGCCTGACGTCTACGGCTGGCCTCCTAAGAATACCAGGCTTTCCGACGCGTGGCTAGTGCTTGCTATTCTATACATGAACGTGAAGGAAAGAGCAACTCGCTGGCCAGCCGATTTTGAACTGAATGGCAACGTAAGAAAGACAAGGGTTCCCGTGGTTCGCCCAGTGATAGCAGAAGTCAATGGTCAGCGTTGGACGCTAGTCTTCAAGGGTTATTACGCTATGATCGGGGAACAAGAGGCAGAGAAGAACTCCTGGTTAGTCAATGTATATCCCAGTGGTGGACCATTCAACAAACTCCAAATTGGCGTGATTCGAGCAGATATATGCATTTTTGGAGTATTGCTTGTACTCTTTCCGGAAGTAACAACAGTACTCTCCTATGTCCTGATTAAGACGGTGGCCGGAAACGGGGCATCCTTCAATACAGGATAAAAGAGAGAGATTTAATGAGAGTGACTGAGTGAGAGCCTTTGGTAGTGTATATTGGTGAACAAGAAATGAATGGTCAACTCTCGTCTGCTACGCAAAGGGGGCAAATGCGAGAGACGGAGTGAAATCTCTCTTCTCTCGGATGTACATACGTATACCTAATACGCCGGTTGAGCTTATCCCAGAGTACATCGTGGCGATACACGTAGGTTGTTGAAGGCAGAGCATGTCCAAGGTTCTCCTCACCCTAGTGCTCAGAGAGCGTTTTGCTGGCTTCAGCATTTGGGCCTGGACCACGGGGTTGACCACATGGTGGACCTTGACCTCGTCTTCCTTGACTTGGTCGACAAGTTTGACGTCCACAAGGACCGCATGCAACGGGAGCATAATCTGGGCTCTCCACGTTGAGGAGCTCTGTATTACCGAGACCATCCTGTCTTTCGGGCTCCCTTTCCTACCAGAGATTTGATCATACATGGCCTTTTCCTTGTTGAGCCAGTGCTCGCCACGGAGTACTAGGGTGTACCTTCTATAGAGGCCAAATGGACGTTCTTCCTTGCGCCAAATTCTCAATAGGGCTCGGTCTGGTGCTGCAATAACCTTTGCTTAGTAACAGCAAAATCCGAGGTACTTCTGTTCTTTTCTCAGCCTTCTTGTTCATAGAATCGTGGCTGACGGAGATGTATGCACTCTCCCCTTAGGAAAGAGTGTACCTGTTGCCGCGAAAGGCCTGGCAGACCTGCTCGGGTTGTTTTCCCATAGCTTGTTTCGAAAGTGCAATTGCCCCAATGGTCTTCTATTGCCATCTTTGCCTTGTGATATCTTTCACCACGTCTGGTACCTCCCTTTGAATGTAATTGAGTTCAGTACAAAACATATCGATTAGTCCTCCGATATAGCCACATCTGTCACTCAGAGGTTAAGTATTAGTGTGATGGTTTTGGCTTGCGAATATAAAGTGTACATCATCATCATCTGAATTCTCGGCATGGAGCCATCCGCTTTTCCAGCTTTTCTCAAGAGCCTCTTCCAATTCTATACTCCTGGTCTCAACTTATAATGGCTCAAGAGTGACGTCGATCTAGTTGCCTCGCGTACGGCTGTCACTACCTGGGAGTGCACATGGCCTCCCCATCTCTGTATCTGTAATGCGGATTTAAAGGCCACGAGACCTGTATTGCACCGCGATTTCAGACATTCGAGGGACTTATAGGACCGGAACCTGTACGGACCAGTTGCTACCTCTTTACTCATACAACTACTTTTAGCCGTGCATTCTTTTGCAAACGACACAGACTCGGCCAGAGGTTTTCTCGCAGCTGGGACCTCGTTAGTGGGTGAGATTTGATAACCCACCCGGGCGAGAGTAAGGGGAGATAGTATGTTAACTCTGTACACAGGCATTTAAGCAGGTGTTTTAGGTCCTTGACCATGTACAGATGATTTCACTTGGAAACTGGACCGGCGCGGATACAACTCCCAGCGTCTCGTCTGAATTGGCTAATTGCGTCCTGACATTGCTCGCATTCATAAACATCGGGCCGCTCCATCCCAACCACCTGAGTCAGAAGGGCTTCAATCTCAAAGGCATTTCAATGGCCGGCGCGATTTCGTTTCGCTGAAGGGTCAAATCTTTGGGCATGATAAACACAGACGCCGTCAATATGGTATTTCTTCAAATCTCCTCGTCGTTTGGTTTACCGATATAATTCCGCCCCCGAATCTTGGGTAGAATGGCAATGAAATACCTCATGATTTTGCTTTCCCAAAAGCTTCTCTCAGCTCCCACGATGTGGGCGTTGCGTTGATGAAATACGCCATGGATAGTAATGAAATAGAACGTATAATGATCGGAACAATAGGTATGGACCAAATGCAAAGCACTCCTCAGGCAGCCTATCATTTACAACCCGCTGTGCTAGTATCCAGATCCACTACTGTTGTAATGACAGTTGGTGCACGTTTCCCCGAAAACTCCAGGCAGGATAAGACCGAAGCAAAGCCGGCTGGAAGCAGCATCGTCTTCACGATGAAAACCGTGACTCAGGCGCAGGGACATGGATGCAGGATGGCATGATCTTTGGTGACTATAGCGCTAGAACCGATATATCTTCTTCTGCTTTTCGCACAGTTCGAGATCGTCGAGCTCCATATGATCATGCAGACTATCCTCATCAGGCGCGTGCAACAGTAACGCTTATAGCTGCAAGCATATGCAGAATCCACTGCATCTCTAGTAGATCGGGTCATAGAAGGGGATGTTTATCAGGATTTTCAGCTCCCAGGTAATCATACCACCAAGCAGATGACCTTCTAGGCAGTTAGAAAGCCTGGTACTTTCTCGGTCAGATCGCTCAGTGCTCTGCGAGACAGGAGCGTTGGCAAGGGCCGTTCGTTTTCTCTAAACGAAGTCTGCATTCAAAGCCAAAGTAATATGGGGCAACTGCTCTTCTGTCGGTAGATTGTCCCGTAGTATTCGGTAGCATGAATAGTAGGCATATTAGAAGAAACCATAAAGTTCTTCACACAGAACGGATACATCTTGTTGGAATTTGGCCTTCACAGTTCCTTTTCAAGACAGTAAGGGATTTCCTGCAGCATATCCCATCCACGTACCCAAAGGATAGGGCGCCATCGGAGTAACTCTTTGATCCTAGCGCGAATATAGGACAACTAACTGTTCCAGAGCCTATAATTAAGCGGGGACGCTGCCAGCCTGCCATCCGTGGGCTTCTTCTCACACAACTTGATCGTGTTTCTCTTGCGTGGTGCATCGCACCTAGTCCAGTCAGTTGGACTGCAGCTGGGAACATGTATGGAACTGTAGTGTATCTATTTGGGAGTCCTGAGGGCGAAGATTGTTCTGGAGTCAGCGCTCTATGAGCTGCTGCTAGTTCCTCTTAGGGGTGTTGCTAGAGCCGATGTCTTCGGGACTCCTGATAGGATTATGGCTGTGGATGGAGTGGGATCAGAATGGAGTTTAGAATTAGAGTAGGTATTTATATACTAATAACTAGAGATACGCATTCCCAGGTTGGGGATTTAGTGAAAGTCTACAGCTATTTACCATATCATGGTAATCGAGAATGAATAATGTGTATCCGACGAATAGAGACCCTACGAGCCATGAATTCACATATGCGATGATCCTCAAGGCCAGCGTGAAGTGTCCACCATGAATGATCGACTCCCAACGCAGACAATTCGTACCACTGTAGTACAATCATGCAAATCCGGGGGGCACATGATACCTCCAATTGCCCGGGCAGACAAGGAAAATGCCTGCAGAAGTCAGGTAACGGCAATCTGCAGGGAGCAGATCGATCAACAAGGTATGACAACGCATGCTGCATCCATTGCTCGCAGGCCGCCAGACTAATTTCGAATGCTCTGGGTAACATTCCGAATCAGTCCAGCAGGGGACACTTGTTCAAAACGTTAGCCCAGGCCAAAAGGCAATGGAGCGCATGCCTCAGGAATCCCCGCATGTCTGTGGCCATGTTCCAGTCTTCAGACGCCGTGAAATGTACACACACACACACACACACACACACACACACACACACACAGAGCGAGAGGGGGCGAGTTTTATTAATAGCAAAGCGTCACCGCTGGTACAACAGAGTGACTTTCAACCTGCTTCCCCCCTGAGTTAGTGAAGAATGTCCATTACTTGATCGTCGTCGAAGTTAACCCATTGCTATAATATTCCCCAGCGGGCATGCGCAGGCCTGCACTCGATTATTGGCGCCACACATGACAGATTGCATGCAATCTGCCTCATGCCTGTCGAATGTCAACCGGACTCGGCATCTGACCGACAGGCAGGCGAGCTCACAACACAATGACAAATTCGTCGCATAACCATAACCGGGGAAGCAGCATGGGTGACGACACTTGGTCAGGGACTAGATCCAGTTCCCCGATCGGGGAACGAGACAAGGAACAAATCGCGTTTGTCTGATCCCCCGTGTGATTGAGGGTGGTCTCTGCCATACGCGGAGAAAAGCACACGGCGACGGAACGCCTCCGGATTTGTCATTTCTAAGCTTCAGCGGCGTCGAGTTCATGAGCTGCGGATATTAGTTCCTTATGCCCCGAGCACACTGGGCTTTTTTCCTTTTTTTTTTATTTTTTATTTTTATTTTTTTTCATGTGATTTTGATGGCGGTGGTGGTGGTGGTTGTTGATCTCTCGATTTGTATCATTTGTATCAACTAATGTGTGTGGAGATCAGCCATAGTACCTGGCAGGAAAAGACAGAGAAGCAGGGAAGGTATTTGCAATGTATTGGTGTTTGCGTGGATGGTGCACCACCGTTGGGTAACAATATGCATAGTTGTTGAACCCCTGGTTGTGATACTGATAGGGCCAGGAAAGGATGAGCTCTCCTGCTGCTTGCTGGCCATGTCTCATATCAGAACGTCGGCATCTCCGAATTATCTGGTCGCCGAATTGACCACACCACCTGAGTAACCCAGAAACGGGGGAACCAGAGAGGAATCTTTCATCGGGAATTAACTCCGAGGAAGTGTAGGAAGTCATTGGAAAAGTCTCAGCTGCAATGCATCGGTACACCCGTTGATAGTAGTACTCTCCCTTCGTCCAGGTAGTAGTAGGTATGTACTAGTATACAGTATGTATGGGTGTATGGGTGTATGTATAGAGATACATACCAAAGAACAACAGAACCGATTACCGTCACCATACACGGTACTGCAATACATTCGTACTGTAATACGGACTGCCAGGAAACAGGACCGCAACGGCTGGTATCTGACAAAGCCCCACGTGGTTCGCAAGAACCCCTTGGCAAGGGGAGGATGGTGCTTGGGCCATGGGGGCTCCGGGAGCCATGATTGGACGGTACCCTGACTAGCGTATCGCGTATAAGCCAAAGATTACAGTAATACCCAGGACCCATGACAAATCCTTTTCTCGCTGTTTGGCACCCGAAATGGCTTAGCGCGATTTGATTCCTGAATTGGTCCCTGAGCGGGGTGACTTGTCCTCATGCTGGCCATAGCGGTCGGTCGGTTCGTAAACCGGCATCCTTAACCAAGACCACGATAGACTATACTACCAGCTAGTACTACGACCATGGCCTCGTTTCCAAAAAGGGCGACACGCGTTGTCATTTTCCATCCCTGACAGGGGGGATAAGTCGCGGCCAGATCGGCAATTGACTTCGTGGGATATATCTCCATCAGGAAAACTTGGCGTGGCGGTGCTGTGGCTGACCCTTTCAGCTGGTTGTGGCGCTGAAGTAGTAATAGTAGTACTTAGTAGTGAAGAGTTTAAAGGGTGAGGCTGAACCCAACGACCCCTGAAACCCGGAATTACCATACCGACATCGCTGTCCGTACTGTACCCCGTCACTTTCTCCTCTCTTCCCCTGTATCGTATATACACCCCTGTATGATACAGCCAGTATCAACCTGCAGCGACCGTCCCTCCCTGCCTTCTTACCAACAAAATCCGCCGATCACGGGCGGACCGGTAAGGCGGGTACCCTAGTCCCAGAATAGACTAGCGATCAGCAAGACCACCGAGATCCTCCGTCCACCAATGGGAAGGCCAGACACTTTGAATCTCAACGTTCCGTGCAGGAAAGGAAATCGATCAACCGGTCCGCCCAAGGCAAAAAAAAAAAGGAAAAGAAAAGAAAAACAGGGCAGATCCACCTTGCTTCAGGGGGACCGTGTGTGCACAAAGCTCGAAATCCAATTACCCTGTATCAACAATGCAGAGCATAAACCTACTCCTACTCCAAGTAAGCTACCAAAAAGCACATACCAACCCAGGTTCAGCTGCCATCTACATTTTTGTTTTGCCTGCTGTCTGAGAGCTCAGTTGGCAGTGGCTCCACCCTTCAAGCATGCAGCAGCCAGGCATGCATATGCAGAATCACAATGTCAATTCCCTATCGAGGCAGAGTGATAGGTTGCATATGCATTTCCCCTGTCATGTTTCCGCCGTTCCGCGTATTAAAATTTAAATAGTCACGAGTTAGCATGTTTTTGACATCTAACGGATGAACCTGGCTGCTTTTCGTGGAAAACGAAGAAATATGTGGATCCTTCTTTCTCCCTTACCGTGTAAAAGGTTTTTCTCTAAACGAACTACGATAGAATGGAAAGAGAATAAACTAGAAAAGGAAAAAAAGAAAAAGAAATTGTACAAACCCGCGGAGGTAGATAGCCAACAAACCACCCATCCCTACTTTACCCTGAGGACTGGAACGCTTTCTCCTCCCCGTTCCCAGAGGATAAACTACGGAATTCCAGATTATTGGATCCCCTAGCGCGACGGTGGGTGCGAGCTTCGACTGAAAATTGGGATCTGGATGTTCGAAACCTTTTTTTCTCTTTTTTTTTTTTTTTTTTTCTTTTTTTTTTAATTCCGTCTCTGGTTTCTTATGTCTGATTTGGTTCTGCACGTCCTTCTCGGTTAGGTTGATGATTGATCGGTTGTACCCGATAGCATGGTAGCTATTTTTTATGTTTGTTTTTTCCTTTTTGGTCCCGAGACTTGGCTACGGTGCATCTCGGGGAGGAAAACCCCCAACGCCAATGGAATCGAGAAAATCAAAGCGCGATTACCTGTTATTCCAGCCAGTGCATGATATTAAGAATCCACCACATTTCCAGCGGTGTAGCTACAATACTATACCCATAATGCGTAGTAACATACCTTCGATCAACCAACCAATCTCCTTAATCAAAATTATCAATCTGTGTCACAACCCCACTAATCTCGATTAGAGTACGGAGTACTTGCAGTATTGTAGCCGATAAAAATCGTGATCACTAACTGCGATCCCAGTCGTTAGTTAAATTTAGTTATATTAATAAGTAAATAAATAGATAGAAAATCAAATCAAAAAGTGTTGAGGAAAATAGGAAGAACAAGAAAACAAGGGGCCTCGGATTTAAATTCCGGCCCAGCATACACTATAGGGTAGGATCCGGAATACATCCCCTCTCGAGTCTCGACCCTCCGCCCGCTAAACCACAGTACTAAGCAGTAGTTGTAGTACGTAGTACTAGTAGCAAGGGTGCCTCCAAGTCCTACTCCGAAAGGCGATACGTCCTAGCTAGCGAACCTCCCCCACTTCAATATCAAACTCCAGATTATCCGCGGACAGCCATCGACGCGGCCGTTTCATATCTCAAACTAGCCGGCCCTTGGTTCTGGGTTCGGCTGCAACTCTGACCACGGGAAGATCACTGCGGTGGAAGGACCAATGGGCGTGGTCCGAGAAGATGTGATCCGGCCTTTTTTTCTTGATTTGATTTGATTGTATTTTTTTTTAATTTTTTGTTCTCTGGTTCCGTGAACGCTGAGTGCCCGATTCGGTACTGATGGAAGCTTTCCGTGGTTTCTTACTCCATTGGCCCGTTGGGGAGGAGATATTATTAGAATTTTTCCTGCAGATATGGATCTCGGGAGGTGAGTCAATCGTGGTTGTGAAACGCTGTTTTTTTGCTTGATGGCTGTTAAAATTGAGATGGGAGGACTGCGTAGGCTCTGCGATGCAGCGGGTTGGGATCGCTGAGATTTCCCAATTGGGTCAACAGTCTACGACCCAGGATGTTACATTCCGGGGCGTTAGCTCGGCAGCTCACTAGGCTACTCGCTAGACAGGGCCTGCACCGTAGCTTGACAAAGGCTGTGGATGGCCTTTGCACCGTAGTAGTATTCTATCTTCAACAACCTCAACGCACCTAGTGACTAGTAGAAATACTACTAGTATACAAGCCCGTTAATTAGTCACGTTAGGTCGAAGTCATTCCAGGCGTGGAGCCCTCCAAAAAAAAAAAAAAAAAAAGGAATCGAGCCAATCAGTCGTGAAGAGTGATCGATTCCCCACTGGAATATATTAAAGCCCTATTAAAGCCCGAGAGGATCTGCCAATCAGCGGCCACGGTTCCCTCTCTGCTGGTTGCCGATGAAGCAGGATATAAATACTTCTCATATTAATTAATTCCGGGTGATCAGGAGAAAGCAACTTGGGGGGTTTCAGCTGTCACTTGTTGAGATTAACTGAGCAATATAAATAGATTGAATCTTAATTTGTTTCGTCGTCTGACACGTTATCAGCAAATCTATTCATTTGATCTCTGGCGGATTTGGGGGCATCCCCCCTGAGGGACGTGTTGGTCTCGAGTAGAGAGTCAAAATGATTTTTTTTTTCTTTGCTGCAACGGTTCTCCACTCGGCTGAATCTCCTCATCGAATCACCACGATCGGATCGGAATCGGTAATGCGTCACGTTCGAGGGGAGGAGCGAGAGGAAACTAATCGTCCGCTAACTGACGCTAACGACGAGTATTCCAAATCAATGGGAAAACGATCGTCGCTCCGGTGCTGCGATCGTCTCTTGGTCCGCGCCAGGGGTGGATGAGGTAATTCGACAATCTCATTGTTCGTCACTAACTCCTGTGAGAGTCGGTTGGATAATTCGGCACCGGATGGCGGTTTTTATTTTGGTTGGGTTTTCTGAGCTTCGGTCGGGGTCACAATTCCATTTCGAGAATTAACGTTGGAAAGAAATGAATTTAGAGTTAAAAATTCGAATAAAATACCGAAGCGAGTCATGTCAGTAAGGTGCCAACGACTGGGAGAATGTATGTATGTATGTACCTTGTAGTTTAGCGACCTTCCACGGAGAAAAAAAAAATTGAACTGAGTAATTTTGGGTTCAATGATTAACATGCTCGGTTGCCTTTTCTTGCAAAGACGACGTGTAAGAGGGGAATAATGGCTGGCTGGAGTGAACACCGGTGGGAATGTATATCCGTAGTAGGTAGGAGTTAGATATCCGTACACGTACCAAATCGACACGCTCGCAGTGATCATGATTATATCACACATACATACATACGATGAGCAATCCAGCCAAGCTGATTGTGGCTTTTACACCGATCTCTCGGTGGTAGTACTGTGGCGAGTCGGACAGAGAAAAATCGTCGGCTGTTGAGGCCATCCTTCGATTACCATTCGCACAGCCCGTCGAGACTAAAGAACTAGAGTGAGATAGTGAGGTGAGCTGACCAGGGGGCCACACACACGTAGAGTGGCTGGTGTCTGTTTTATTTATTTAATTCTTCTTTTTTGTTTTCTTTGCATTTCTTTGCTTTTTCTTGGATCTGGTTTCCTGCGTTGTAACCCAATCCCTCGGTCATGCTAGCCCGAGAGCACATGTATGTAGATCCCACTTCGGTAAGAACGTCGAGAACGAACGGCAAGGCCCAGTCGCGAGAGGTACAGTATGTACATGCATATCGACATACCTGGTGGATACAACCACCACGTAGAAGGGTTCGAGCAGGCGTGTAGATCCTCCTGAAACCGTTGGCGATGATGCACAGGGAGATATCTAGATTCTAAGGGAGGGGAGAACAGCACCACCAACGCTCAAGCCCAGTGCAATCATCCCGCGATAAACTTTGGACAAGAGGAACCTTACCTACCAACAGTACGAAAGGCGACCCCAATTATGGGAACCTACTGCACGTCAAAGTTTGGATGGTGAACCATTGAGAGCTTCCAAGCGCCCTGGACCGAGGTGCGATTTGCATGAACCATCCTCCGTACTGGCTTTCTATCCATTCATTTGGGCCATGTCTGGAAGGATCCGTTGTGGATGGATGACAACTCGTCAGCTGGATTGGAAATTGATCTATCGATCACAACTTCCCAACCGAGCGTGGTATGCATGCAAAATGTTGGCGTCGAATTTCCTTTTTTTTTTCTCTTTTTCTTTTTTGTTTTAGTTTCTTTTTCTTTTCTTTGCTCTTTTTTTTTCAGAGTGGGGGAGGGAGCATCTCCTGTCTCATACCTAATGATCTTTATTCGATTTTCTCTGCGGAGAAGTGATATCGGTTGTGGTCTCCTCGCAGCTCGTTTCCGGATACCACTCGGCCGGTGGTGACCCCCTTGCGTCCTCCTCGTGAGGAACAGTCGCAGACAAATGCCGATGACAGCCAGCCACAAAAAGGGAGCTCAGCTGAAGTGTCTACGGTGGGGATACCAACCAACTGCCGTGCCTATCCAAGAATGTACGGCAAGAACGGGGAAGACATCCGGAGGGGAAAAGATCAATTAGGATTCAATATCATACACAAGAATTAGAAGCATCATAAGATTCATTGTAACCAACAATCAACAGCCAGGGGTATTATTAAAGTCCAAGCACACACAGAGTGGATACAATCGTGTATCCAGAAACACAGACCTGTACACATGCAGAAGAAAACAGATCGTCCGTCACTTCCGTCTTTTCTCTAAACCATCCAAGTAGTCATCCACCCAACGATGACCGTAGAATCAACAATTCTCCGAACATGCTTTTGTCCCAAACCAAAGCGGTCCCAAATTACCACGTGACCCGCCGTGGATATATACGAAAATCATCCAGCAAAATGTACATGATATAGATACAAAGGAAATGCAAAAAAAAAAACCAAAGAAAAAAAATCCAAAGGTCAAAAGAGTGACAAGGGGTCGGTCAAGCATATACATAACGCTTCCAGGATATCATCCGAAATGAAGCAAATTAAGGCAGAAAAAAAAAAGTATGCGAGTCATGCGATCATTCCAAAGCGAAGAATCGTCGTTAGTTCAGCAGGTTGCTGAGACCCATGCGCGAATCACGTGGGGATTCGGCTTTAGGTGCCTCTGGTCGGGATTCTTCGGGGGCAACGAGCCAAGTCTGCGACAACGAGGTTGAGTGCTGGCTCCAAGGCTGGTTGTCCGAAACCCATCTAGATTTGAAGGGCAGATCGGCAAAAGTGTCCAGCTTCTTCGGGGTTGGATAGATGTAGACGTCATCCAATGAGCTCTGCTTGCGGAACTCGCCGTATTGTTGGCGGGTGTCCACGGGGAATGGCAGGAGCTGTGGCGATGAGATGGTTCTAGGGGATGCGGAGGAAACTGAGTTGTGGTCTGAGATCATGGATGGTGGCTCAAGAGAGGGAGTATGAGAAACCTCCGAGTAAGCAGGCGAGGTCAAAGGCGTGTCGACCGGGCGGTTGAGAGCGGGGAGAGTGTAGATAGGCGTCAGTTGGCGAGGGCCGTCAAGGGAAGCGGTCGAGGTGGAGTCCCGTCTCGACCAGGAAGTAAGAGGTCTATCGGTCGAGATAGAAGTAAAGCGAGAGCGGCTGGTCGGGCTGCTCAAAGACACGGAGGCGCGCGCATATGGGGCTTCAATCCGACCATTGAAAGTGCGTGAGATGTGCGTGGTGCTTGAAGTGGGGAGACCTCTCCTCTTGCGGTTCATACTGCCGTTCCACCAGTTCTTTACTGCGTTGTCGCTGCGATTGCCGAGTCGTCGGGCAATTTCGGCCCACCGCTTGCCCATTTCGTTTACCATCCGCTCAATCATCAGACCCTCATCAGCGGAGATAGGCTCGCGGTTCAAAGATGGCTTGAGATTCTGGTGGAATCGTTCCCGGCATTGCTTGGGAGACCGGTAGTGCATGTGCTGCGAAATGCGCACCCAGTTGTTGGGGCCTTGTTCCCGAACCAACTGAAGTAGCAATTGATCCTCTTCAGGGACCCAAGGTCCACGGCGGTGAGAAGGTGCCATTGTAGACAAAGGCTCTGATTTTTTTTATTAAGTTCTTTTCACTTTGTTACTTTGTTCCCTGTGACGGTCAGTCAGATGGGTTTATAAGTAAGAGAAGGGAATGAGTGATCCGAAGTAGTGGAAAAGCAAAGTAATAAAGATGCAGGAGTGCCAGTAAATTAAAAGAAGGCACAGAGGGCGGGGAAGGTTGACAGTTAATATAATAAGGGAGGTTGAGTGCTTACCGATGGTGGGGGTTTTCGACTTAGTGCACCAGAGATTAAATCCCACAAGTGCTTATATATGTGTGTATGTTGGAAAAGGATAACCGGGTACCTGGATCCTGGAAAAGATTGGCTTGGTGGATGGATTGAAAGAATTTAAGGTTCGAAAGGTACGACGGTCCAGGTGGTAGATATATCTCCAGAAGGGTAAGGGGAAGAGACGGGAAATTTTGAAGTGATGAACAAGCAGGAAGAGGGATGAGGTATGATCAGTTTTATAGCAATAATCAGAGAATAGGTACAATGACCAGGGAGACGGGTCAGAGAAAAATGGACTACTGCTCCACATTTACAGCACGCTATAGGAGAAGATCTGAACCAAGATCTCGGAGCTGACAGTTGTCGGAGGTATAAAAATATTAAAATAAAATAGAAATAAAAAAAATTAATTGAAAATTAAATATTGTTTTTTGGTGTGATTGTTTTATTTGTTAATAATAAGAATTATTTTTTATTGTTATATTTTATTTTTCCCCCTTCCCGCAAGTTTTGTAACCACCAATGTATTGTCACATTTGTCATGAGCAATTCTGTATGTAATGTTTGTTTGTTAGGTAACTTCTGACTTTACTTGGTACACACTCATACCCTGAGTACTCGATATGAAAGGGGGGTTTGTCACCCTCTAACCGAGATTATCGCTTGCTGCCTTACTCCAGAGGCGCTCTCGATGTTATCCCTAGAGTCACAGGATCATTATTCCCAGAAGATTCCTTCATTGTTGACCATGGTCACTTAGAGGTATTGTACGCAAAATCGATGTACATTGTTTATCTAAATATGGAGCCCGGTATGTACGGATATACATACAGTACGGTGTACCCGACATACCTGGATACTCCTGAAGGGTTTCAACGTAACAACATAAAATACTCAAGTGGGGAAACCAAAAAGAGGCTAAAGATTCTTTGCAGTATCTTCTTTGGGTAAGACCCAACTTTAGCCTACAAATTGACAGGGTAATAATTTTGAAGCACACCCATGCACAACTTCACTCAAATTAATCATACATATTTTTTTGTCTTCAAAAAAAAAAAAAAGGACCAGGTTCTGAAGCGCAGGGGGAATTTCCGGATCGTGGGGGAGAGATTTGCCACTATATGCCATAGTAACAGACTCTACCACAAGACCGGTGTTGCAACAGGGATCCCTGTAGTACTAATGACTTGTGTGTGAAACATGAATATGCATCTACTTCGCTTTTTATTTCCTATTTGCTTTTTAGGTGTACACCAAACCAACATCGCGAGTCATTCATTGTATGAGAGACAACGACATGAGACCGTCCCCCCCGGACGGAAAGACTTTGTTAATCACCCCTCCTCGCAAGGCTTACCTGGTCACGATCTCCTCTATAATTATTATACATATGTATGTATGTACACCATCCCAGGTCCTCTTACCGGGTTTTAACTCCGATGCTGCCATATCGGCGTTAATGTCTAGAAACTGTAGTATCTGTACGAACAGACACGTCGTGGCTTCCAGATTAGTGCAAATCAGCCTCCATTCAGGTGACCTATTCTTTTATTTTTATCATTTTAGTCCATCTGCTCGTATATGCAGTGGAGACCATGTTCAGGGGAAAGTGTGGTCGGATGGCAGAGAACGGTCGTTCCTGAGTCAGTCACACGTCTCGTCGAAAAAAACCATTTAATTAAATGGGGTCCTGGAAAGTGAGTGCGAGGAAGACCCCACGGTATCAATCATTACGGAGTAGACTGAAAGGCGAAAAGGAAAAAAAGGAACAAGAAATTAAGGTCCGATCATCTCCGTGGCCCTAGTGTACAACCATGGCCGATCCACTCTCGACACCTTGAATATGAGGTTGGCCTATGCTCGTCTAGGTTCAGGGCCCTGACAGGAGAACGGGAGCGGCAGAAACGGTCTGTGGTAAGCGAATGAGGAAAAGTTTGGTGTGTTGGGTGAGCGGGGCATTTTTTTTTTTTCCCTTTTTCATGGTCAGAATTAGATATTCTTGCATATTAAAAAGTAAAAAGAATAACAATAAAAAAAATTATGGAGTAGGTAAATGGGAAAAAGGGGGGGTAGTGTGTGTATGTGTGTGGAAAAGGGAGAAACAATTCCGTGAAGAAAATAACAATAATATACATCTGATAATATTAAAAAATGATACTAGCGATATTAAGACTACAGTGTAATATATTCTTTTATGGTAAGTGCAAATCAAATATAATCGATCTTTCTCAGGATACTCCGTAGTTGGATATAAAAAAAAAATTATACAAACATATTGAGTTAGTGTTAAGCTAGTGTGGTCAAATTGGTATCATCTCGCGATCAAGGCAGACAAAAGCTTCATGGCCATAGCTCCGGGCAACAGCAGTGCCTTCCCAACAAGAAACGGCGACTTCGGGGACCCACTGCTGACTGGGCAGTATCCCTACCCAGTCATGGCAGACAGATCCTTTCGTGCATTGATAGTGCATCGCTCTTAGTCTGTTTTAAGAGGTGCCGACCTTAGCCTGGTAGCTAGTTGACCGGCAATGGGGGAAGGGTGGGAAAGGACAAGGCATTATTGACAGGTAGTAATTCCTTTTTTTTCTTTCTTTAATTATAATCAGCAAATGAGGCTAGAGAAAGGAAAGCAGAAAACAAATCAAAATCCAATAAAAATGGGGACGAAGGATGAGAAAACACCACCCGATCCAAATCCTCAGCCAGCCATGTTCACTTTATCTCTCCACTCCCCGTGGGCCGTTACTTGGAACATGAACCGTTGGTGTGGGGGCCATGATTGGCGCAGTGCGTCTAATTCTGACAATTTGGAATCATTAGACTTCGCTTTACTTGACTCGGGCAAGATCGTCCTGGAGATCGTGAATCTCGAATGGAGGGAACCTTTGCCTCGGTGCCAGTGGCTTCGCAAGTTACCGAACGCTTTCCAAGACCGAACTTGCCTGCGACAGGCTTAGTCATCCACATCACCCTCCCGATTAGGAAGCCTGTGAGGTCATCCAGCTCAGATGTTCAGCTCCATAGAACAACACAGCCATTGTTTGAGTCCAGGATCCGTATCTGCGCCTCGAAGAAGTATATTCTGGGCCAATTTTCAATTATTGATTGGTATTACGATGAAGAAACAAACAAAAAAAAGGTTTCGTTCGGAGAGATTACTGAGTTTACAGGTATGATCATCTCAATGCAGTTACAAATAGTCAAGATCCCACCAAACTCAAAGAGCAGGATCATGAACAAAAGTACCTGATAGCAAAGGTAGGAGGGGTGACAGTGTCCAACCACCTGCTTCAGTTCATGTTCCTGACTCACGTTCGCTGCTGGATACTGGGTCTCAGCTCACCTGTGCCGCCGGGGCAGGACAAAGGTTGACAGATCTCATGGGTCCCCTTCATGCAGTCTCCATTTCGCCTTCCATTCGCCTTCCACCATACAATGCTCCGTTTGGCTGTTGACCCTCCATCTACTAGTCCATGCATCATCATGCAGCTGCGCTCGAACGAACCGGCTGAAGAGGGTTAATAGATAGACGGGGAAGTCGGGAACTTCCGCAAATGGATGGGTAGTGAATGGACCATCCAGAAGAATGGCATTGAGCCGTAAATCCGGCTTCTCTGATTGGGTTGACCCCGACTTTTAGCCATGAATCGAGGATCCTGCGCACAGGGACGGTGCCGCTGTACTGGTGTTCACAGTGGGGAGGGCAACAAAAGAAAACAATCACGATGGAAAAAGCAATTAAATTGAACTATAGAGCACTATCATTCCTCCTATATCCACAAATCCTAGTATCATCGATCGGGCAATGCCATCGGAGAATTTTTCTCCGATCAGTCAGACAGACAAGACTGATTGGCCGATCTGGAAATCCTTGAGGGCCGAGTTCCAGGGCAGTGGAAAGGGAGTATTAAGCTTCGGCAAGGAAGCGATCAGGATGTGAAGAGATCGACCATGTGTAATGGAAGGCTCGCTTTACTGTGATGATAAGTAACATGCCTGATGCCGTCGAGTCTCTCCGTAAACTAGTGAAATGCTGTCGGATTGACTTTCGAAGGAAGCGCTGTCCTGCAAAGGGGCAGGACTCAATCACACCTCGAGAGCGGGAAACATGCAGTGTAGTGGATATCTCGCGCTGTCAAAACTGTCACACTGGAGCGGTATACAAACGCTATGCACCACAGCAACCATAAATTACATGACAACCAATATGACAAGGTCCACAGCACATGGCAGATACCACGAGCTGGAATATCAACTGTAATACCGCATACAATTCTTTTTAAATATTTTTTTTTCCAAAAATAACCCCCCTCAATTAAATTAATTTACTCCAAGTACGAAGGAAGATGATGCAGTGATCAGTCAAATATCATAACTAATTTAACCGGTACGGTCGATCCTTCGTCCAAGCGGGCGACTATTTAGGGTGCATAGGCCGCATGACGTGAGCCTCTATCGGACCGACTGATTGGCCAGCATATTTAAGGTATTTGTCATTCTGGGGCAGGTGGATCTCGTACAGTTTAGGTAAAGATAGGCGGAATATTTTTCTTCGAGAGAATCCGAAGCGGCCTCAATTCCCTTTCCTCGGAGAGCGTCCCATGTGCTCACATGGATCATCCAGACAATAGAAGGAGCTTCCTATTCTGGTAACGCTGAAACAAAGTAATCCAGGTGACTGGTAAGTTGTGAAGAACAACCATTGATGAACAATGATCAACCGTCACACATCCAATTTCGCTTGACAAGAATTATTCC